CATGTGCCAAAAAGTAGGGCTTCAATTTTTTAACAGCCATGAAGAGTGCAAGACCAAATTTCTCCACTAGGGGATACCTCAACTCAGCATTTTTCAGTACATGACTGACAAAGTAGACCGGGAGCTGACAGCCGTCTCTTTCAGCAAGGAGAACAGCGCTTAACGCATGATCAGAGACGGCCAGGTACATGTAGAGTACTTCTTTGGGCAAAGGGCTGACCAGCCTCGGCAAGGAATGCAAGTGAACTTTCAATTTCTGGAAGGCGGCCTCAGCATCCGGCCCCCATTCAAACCTTGCCTTTTTCTTAATTGCCTGGAAAAAGTATAGGCATTTGTCGCCTGATCGGCTTAGAAATCTTCCCAAGGCCGCCAGACAACCTGTTAACTTCTGAACCTCTCGGATGGTACGAGGCGACTGCATGTCAATGACCGCTTGCACCTTCTCATGGTTCGCCTCTATTCCTCTCTGATTGATCAGGAATCCGAGAAATTTCCCAGACTCAACTCCAAAGACACATTTCTTGGGATTGAGCATGACATGGTGCCGCCTGAGTGTGGCGAAAGTTTCTCGGAGGTCCGACAGATGATCTTTCTGAAGTTTAGTTTTGACAATCATATCACCAATGTATGCCTCGACGTTTCTCCCAATCTGATCAAAGAACACAGTGTTTATCATTCGCTGGAAGGTAGCCAGGGCATTCTTAAGACCAAACGGCATGACCGTGTAACAGTATAACCCCTGATCAGTGACGAAGGCCGTCTTCTCCTGATCTTTCTTCCACAAAGGAATTTGATGGAAACCAGAGTAGGCGTCCATAAAGCTCATCAAAGCATGGCCGGCTGTTGAGTCGACCAGATTATCAATTTTAGGCAGAGGGTAACTGTCTTTGGGGCACGCCTTGTTTAAGTCTGTGTAGTCTACACACATTCGCCAGGTGCCATTCGGCTTTTTAACAAGCACCACATTTGCAACCCAGTCTGGGAAGTAACATTGTCGAATGAACCCTGCATCAAGTAATTTTTTAACTTCGGCGGCTGCCGCCTGACTTCTTTCTTCACCATGGTTCCGTTTCTTCTGCCGTACCGGCTTCTTTTTTGGATCCACGGCCAGTTTATGTACCGCCAGATCAGGACTAATGCCTGGCATTTCATGGACTTCGAATGCAAAGATGTCCTTGTATTCTTTCAATAGTGTGTGAAAGTCGTCACCAAGGTCTCTCAGAGCAGTCGTCCCAACTTTGACTGTTCGATCAGGACGTGAGTCGTCTAAGATCAGGTCTGTATGCTCACCAGCCGGCTGAGGGCGGAACTCATCCGACCGCTCCTCTGCCAATGATTGCTATTTTCTTTCTTTTCTTGCGGCCCCTGTCTTGGATGCCTTTCTCTTCTTGCCGCCTGCTTCTTGAACAGGCGCACTCTTCTTGACATTGTCAAGGTCTGTTTTTTCACCACTTGACCCAGTGGCCATAACAGTGGGCTTGACATCCGAGAGATAGCACTCTCGGGCCATCCTCTAATCTCCCCTTAGGGACCCGACTGTTCCATTATCCCTCTCAAACTTGAGCAACATAAGAGATGGGATTATAACAGCCTTGGAATTATTCAGGGTTGGTCGTCCCAGAATCATGTTGTAGGTCGAGAGTTCTTCCACTACCAGGAACCGGACTACCATGTGTCGTCCTTCCCCTTTTTCGCCCAGGCGGATGGGTAAATCCACTCGTCCCAGTGGGTGGACGACTCCTCCTCCAAACCTTACTAAAGGGTGGGAGGCCGGATGTATGCAATCAGTCTGATATTTTAGTTTCGACAGACATTTGCTACTGATGAGATCTGAGGAGCTTCCGGTATCTATGAGGATTCGTCCAACTCTCTGGTTGGCCACTTTACATTCAATAACGATAGGGTCGTCATGCGGCCCTCTTACCCCTCCTAGATCTTCTTCAGTGACGAAAATCTCAGGAAATGAATATTTGGACGGCCGTTCTTGGTGAACGGAATTTACATCTAACCGCCTGATATTGTCTTTGTTGCCCCTAATAGTGGGGCCGCCTCCTGAGAAGCGGCCTGTAATGGTGTAGACGACTGCATCATCTGTATCGGAGCTGTCGGCCTGTTGATTCTTTTTGGCCGACTGCTTTTTTGAGGAAGTGTTCCCCGTAGATTTCTTGACATAAGTGTCAAGATCACCTTGCTCAGCCAGACGGTCCAGATACCGCATGAGACTGATGCAGTCATTGGTGTGATGACCAACATCATCATGATAAGCACAGAATTTATCTTGGTTCCGGTTGTTTGCAGAACCCTTCATGGGGACCGGCTTCTCAATTGAGATCCGTCCCTTGATTTCTTTTAGGATAAACTGGTTATCCTTGTTAAACGCATACTTTGGGGAGTATGGTTTGAATTCTTTTTTCTTTTTCTGGGCCGGCTGTTTAGAGGAATCAGCCGCCCAGACCTCTTTTCTCTTCTCATCTTTGTTTGACGACTGTTTCTGTCGTCCTTCTCTTTTGTCGAACCTTTTCCCGTCCGACTGTTTTACCGTACAAAGATCAGTCGCCTGTATATAGGCTTCCGCTTCAATCAATGCCTCTTGAAGAGTCGCCACCCTCTTTCGGACCAAGTCAAATTTGAAGGTCGACCCGTCCTTGAGACCTCTGAAAAAGTCAGTGTAGGCTACCTCATCCGGTTACCCTTGAATCTGTATTCTCATCAGGTTAAACCGCCTAATGTAAGAACGAAGACCCTCCTTCTCGCCCTGCTGAATTGTTCCTAAATCAAGGGTCGTCTTCTTCGCAGGGATGTTCATGGCGAAGTTGGAGGTGGATAAGTAAGCAAGCGTCCTGAAGCTATTTACACAACCAGTCGGAAGGTTGCCGAACCATTGTTGTGCGATTCCTTTGAGAGTCGCTGGGAAACACTTGCACCAGGTGGGATCATCCAACCCTTGAAGGTACATCAGGTTGGTGAAGGCCATAAGATGGTCTTCTGGGTTAGTAGTGCCGTCATAGGCGCCTACTAATACATTTTTCACTTTGGCCGGCTGAGCGGCTTCAGTAATTTCCTTGGAGAAGGCCGACGGCTGTTCACCAAGTCTAAGCAACCGTAGCTGTCAGTCCATAGGTTGGACGTTTTTTGTTACAGGTCCACCAAACGGAGGTGGCTGCAAAAAATACTGTTGTTGCGGCACAAATGGTAAGTTTGGTACCGCCTGGTCGCTATGAAAGCCGGACTGACGGGAGGTGCCGCCTGACTGACTCTCATGATACGACTGAGTATGCCTCATCGAGGCATTTCGCAGACTGTCTTGAAAGTTTGAAGTAGAGACCGACTCTGACAATCGGTCACTCTTCTTCTGCTCTAGCAGTAGCCGAGCGTCTGTGAATGTTTGCTTCGACCCGTCCGCCTGAATATGACGAACAAGTTTCCTATTTCCTGTAGGAAAACGGAATTTTGTGAAATCAAGGGCAGGTGGCTCCCGCTTCCTAGATTTAGGATGAGGAGTCGCCTCTCGCCCTTGAACTGGCTTCCTCTTCAGTGAAGTGGAGGGTTTCTTAGCCGACTGCTCCTTGACCAGAGCAGGCGGCTTTTTGTTGATCAACTCTTGAATTTCTCCCTTGAAGTCCCTCATGAAGGTCATGAGTTCGTTCCTTGTGATGGGAGCAGATCCATCAGTCGGCTGTTGCCGAACAGGCGGTGCGCCTGCTGGCTCGCTTCCTGTTTGAAGATGTTCCCGTTCCCTCCTTTCGGTATGACGGGTACGTCGAGCCCTTAGAGTCCCGTCTGAAGCTGTGTGAGCTTCAACTTCAAATTCACTCTCAGTATCGTGGTCCGACTGAACTTGAGGGTCGTTTAGGGGACGCCTCTCTTCAGGAGTCGGTACAGACTTGGATGCCATCTCAGAAGTACTCTCCCCACAGACGGCGCCAAATGTTTCGGGGTTTTCTGATGTCCTGCGGGAGAGTTACAATTCCGAGACTGGAACCGGACGCCCGTACCTGCAAAACAACGGAGACTCCTGGTGGTGGGAGCTCCGCCTCCAACGGTCAAGTTAGTACTTGATTAAGGAGTAATTAATGCGGAAATTAAAGTGAGTGGGTCTCTCTAGGTGAGAGTGTTTAATGTGAGTTTTTAGCGTAATCAGCCTGTAACTCTGGGTGTAATCAATGTGTTTTTTCCGTAATCCCCCCTTAATGAGGATTAAGGGAGGTATTTATAACCTTGGGAAACGCGCCAATCCTAGGTTTAGGTTAACCTAAGGCTGATTGGGCTTCCCTCGGAAGTTGGGCCTGGGTGGCCGGTTTCTCCATTAGGCATGGAGTATGCCACGTGTCATGACATAATAGGTCCAAGGTGGACGAATAAGCGCGTGCCACGTGGCAAGCCCTGACAGTTCCAACTGGGGGACACTTGGCAGGACCTGATTGGCCCACATGGCGCATTCCGATTGGTAGGAGCAAAAATCCCCTAATCACAACTCATAAAAGCGTTAATTTTATGGACACATTAGAACATCACAAACATACTACTTTGTACAGAGTAATTCTTAAACGAAAAACCTAAGAAATAAAGGACATGGTTAATCTTAGAGGGTAAGTGAGTTCTCCTCCCCCATTGAAACCGAGCTTTCCTCTCTTGAGTTGCTTGCGAGCTTTCTTTCTCTATTAATGGTAAATCAAGAAATTTCATTAAGTTACTTGGGTTAGTTTTAGAAAATTAGTAATATACTTTTAACATGGGGATAATGGTAAACTACTTTATTAAAATGCAGAATAACCTTAGAACCACTGATACCATTATATAGATATTAATGGTTCTACTCCCTCTGTTTTTAAATACTTGCTCCACTTTTCTTTTCCGACCGTTTTTAAATACTTGATCCATTTCCTTATTTGGAAAGTTTTGACAATATTTAATTAATTTCTCTCATCTAGTGGACCCAACAATATTAATTTATGATAATCGCTCCAAACTAAATTAATTTCAAAAAAAAAAAAAAAAAACTGTTGGTTTTGCCGTAGGTAAAATGATTGTAGCATGTAGAACCTAACAACTGAAAAAGTCAGTGTTGGGCTTGTTCATCGTCGTCCTCTTTTCTTTTGGTTTTTTCCTGTGTCACATAACTGACTTACAAAGTTTACAGAAACGAAAAGCTCTTATTTTTAATGCTTTGTGGGAGTCTCTGAAAGCTCAACCCAATTGCAGGGAGGAAGCAAATTCGGTTAAAGGTTGGAATCTTAAATATTGTGTGTTTTTTTCCTTTTATAATTACTAATCAATCCCTATTCATTAATTACTCTTTGCCCTTAATTTTAGCTAATTTCTATTGAAAGATGTCAATTTTTGGGCTGAATTTTTTTTACCTTTGGTGAGTTCATAATGTGAAATGATTAGGATCACTTGATTATATGAATGAATGAATGAATGAATAGGAATAGTGGGTTTCATTTGTATTTATGTAATTAGTGAGGTAGATAAGTATTTATTCAATTCAAGTTGATTAATTTTGCGCAGTGTGTGTGAAAGAATGAGAATGGGGATGAAGGAGATATGCAGAGTTATAAAATTCATATGCTCCATTGAATTTATGAGAATGAGTGTGTTGTGGCCTCTTTATCTTGTATTCTCTCACTTGCGCCTCTTCAGTGGGCGTCACCACTCCACCACTTTCCCAAGACAACTTGTTTCTAACAGACCCATCTGCATTGTCACTGGTGTAATCTTTCTTCTCCTTTTCTCTCCTTTTTTTTTTTTTATGCTTTCTTTTTACTTTCCTTGTATCAAGCTATGCCTGTTTTTGCAGGCTACATCAGGCCTTGGAGCTGCTGTCGCCGAAGCTCTATCAAAACAAGGCTTTTTTGTTATCTTGGGTATTCCTTCTGTCTGTCTTTCTTGTTTCTCTTTTCTCATTCTAATGTTTAGTTTCCCCTTGAATACATGGAATCCCGCTTTATGTAGTGTTTCATAAGCATCATTGTTCCTGAAACACAGGATTTCTTACTTAGCTGGATTTCATAAGAGCTAGATCAGTTTAGTGTATATTTGATGCATGATTTCCTCCATATGTGCAGTTGGAAGATCAGGTCATCTCTTGTCAAAGGTTAGGTTATTAAAAATGTAGGTTGATTGTGTATTTTGACTATTTTGTGCTTAAACCCACTTCTTTCATCTTTCAACAAACATATTCTGTGTGGACAGACTATGGCTGAGATCCGTAAACAGAATGAAGATGCTCAACTTGAAGCTTTTGAGGTCGACTTGTCATCCTTCTCATCCATTATGAAGCTAAAGAATTCCTTGACACAGTGGCTGTTGGATATGAATCTGCATCCTTCAATCCAGTTGTTGATAAACAATGCTGGGATATTGGCAACATCATACAGACCCACTGATGATGGTTTTGATGAGTAATCATGTCATTTCTTTGCCACCTTTTTGTTATTTTTAATTCAACTCCATGCTTTTCACTCCTAATAACAAATTCATAATTTCTACTACTGAAATTAATGAGGAAGGCATGTAGTTCATCCATTAGTTTGTTAGAGGCACGTGCTAGTTTAGGGATAATAAGAATTACCCAAATTCAATTCAGAACTATGATAAGCTCTAATAAGTTAAATTAGTTGATTCCAGAGAAAATCAACACACTCTGAGTTGTTAAACTTCTGTTTCCTGCTTCATTTCCTAAAAACAAAAACATTCTAGAAATTCCTTAATCAGTTGGACAATGCTTGAATACTGATATGTATCTGTTTGTAATATTTCTTAGGATGATGATGACAAACTACTTAGGGGCATTCTGTCTCACGAAAGCTTTACTACCGTTACTCATGAACAGTCCTATTCCAACACGCATAGTCAGTGTATCATCTTTTACCCATCGAACAGGTAATCATATTAATCTGATCATAGTCATTTGAATGGTTTCTCCTTCAATGAGTGAGGCTCGTTTACAGTTTCATTTTATCTTGTATATACGAATTTCCTTAAAACGGGTTCAATTATCATCAAATCCTTCTTTTGAATTGCCTTTCTGAGTTTCTGGCCAAATAACTAGAAAGTTGTGATCATGTTTGTATGTATCTGGCTCCATGGGATAAACAACTTTCACTTGAATAATGCCCAATGCCTGTGTAAGCCTTGTATTGATTAGATTTTCCAATCGAAAAGGATACTTAAGGTTGGACCTTCTATTTACTCTTTAACAGATTGGTGTGTAATCATGTAAGCATGTTCATATATTCATAGTAAAAAAAAATATGATGTAGGAGTTTGGCTTGCCTTATATTTATTTAAATAGTTTTTCAGAACAATTTATTGTTGCTCTTTGAAGGAAAAGTGGTATTGGTTTGCTACGCTAGCATAGGACTTTTAAATGGCTTTGTTGTGAAGAATTTTCATACTATGCCAAAAAAAAAAAAAAAAAAAAAAAACAAAAAAAAAAACATTATTGTATTTATTGATCCACCTACAGCTCTTAGGCTTGTTTACTTTAGATTTTGATAGTTACTGGATGAGTATCGAGTGTAAACTTTTTAGTACTCATCATTTGTTGGTTCAGTGAATGATGTGCAGGTTGATGAGGAGTTTGTTTATGGCAAATCCTTTTCAAATTTCAAGCAGTATCCATTTTCTCAGATATATGGGTGCTCCAAATGTAAGTCAGCATTGCTCAACATTGTTTGGTCGGTAAACATTTACATTAGACAGTTTAAATTTCAACGTATTGGGTATTTATTGGCAGTGTGTATACTGCTTTTCTCATATGAGCTTCATCGACAATTTTCCAAGGACAAAGTTTCTCAACTATCTATCAAGTAAGATTATTATATCTAGTCAAAGAAGCATAGATAACTTTGTGCTCTGTTCATCAAATGGTACTTGAATTTCTTTTCTTTGTTGTGAAAATATGGTTCCCAAGGTCTTGCAAAAATCTAAAACTGAGTTGTAGAGCTGGTTGAGATGAGTCGTAGGACGTAGGAGGATGAATGACTATGAATAGCCTTTCCCTTATTTATGCATTGCAGAGGAGTAGGAACATTGACTACGTGAATTAGGAAGACTTTTTAAAGCTTCCCATTCACAGGAACTGAACTTTGTATCTGCTTTTTTTCTTAAGAAGTTTTTTTTTTATATGTTCCATTAGTTTATTAATTGTTATGGGCAATTGGGCACACCCTTATTTGATCACTAAAGTTAGATCCTTTGCCATTTTCTTATGACTTCTTGGACCACACTTTCAGTTCCCCTTTGTTTACATATATACATGAGTGTATGGGTATCAGGATTTAAAATGGATAGATCTCTCATTCTGTGAGTTTTTAAGCTGCTATAACTTACTGTTATACATTTGTAGCTTGTCTGATGATTGACAAATGTGTAGCTGTCCATAATTCTGATCACCACTCTCTGTCATGTTTTTTTTTTTTTTCAATCTTTTGCTAGTGTTGCGGATCCTGGAGCAGTGAAAACCAACATCATGCGGGAAATACCACAATGTCTTTCTCAATTAGCATTTGCAGTCCTGAGACTTCTGGGAATATTGCACTCTCCAGAGAAAGGGATCAGCTCAATTCTTGATGCAGCCCTTGCTCCACCTGTAAGATTATTAAACTTCGTACCACATCCTTGTGGAACTTAGTCTTTCTATTGATATTAAATATATTATTGACAAGGAGAAATATGTCTGAGGACCCAGGGCCTCTGAAAAGGTGTATTTTAGGCACAATTGACTGGGTATCCACGTCAACTATCCATTAGGGTATCCAATCAAACCTTGACATATGGTTGAAGAGAAACCTGTGAAAGTTCCAATGAAGTAAGTGACTGAAGAAACACTTATAGAGTTATAGCTTGATCCCGTAGAAACACAGTTTTGTCGCCCTGCTCTCTTTTCTGCCACTCGTTTCAACTTTCAAGCAATGATACCCACCAAAATGTCAAAGCACACTTCTGTAAGAGCCTTTGGATCCTTTACCATTATATAACTACATTTTGCAGATGCTTTAATATGGTATCTAGACAAGTTCAACTTCTTGACTCACCTCAAAAGTTTGTGCCATGTAAAATATGCTACTTCACAACACAAAGAAATATGAGTATATCCTTAACCCATTCACTCTCCTAGCACAGTATATGCATAGGACAGTGTGGCCCATTGGTCTATTGAAAAAATTGAGGATATGATTGGAATTTTTTTTTTTCCTTTTTTTGGGGAGAGGGGGGTTTATTGGAAAAAATTGATGTCAAAGTACGAAATTTTTCTCTGTTTGCGATTTATCATCAAGGTTTTATTATTTTTGGAGAGTGGAACATAGTCTTTTGTCTAAAAAAGTAAAAAGTGGGATTTTGTATCAGATATTAGGTCTTTCCAAGTTTTTTTTTTTTTTTTTTTTTTTTTTGAAAGAATTACGCAGGGTCATTAGCCCAAAGATCCCTGCTCCATTTATAGTGTCATTTGAAGATAATTAAGGCGCTTCTGGTGAATTTTCGGGTAAGAACTGATAGCCATAAATTTTGGCAGCATGACTTCTCATATAATGGCACAACCATCATTAATCCAGAGTTATATCTTGATCAGGTCTCCATTATTTTGTTAATATATCCCTAAATTATTTGGAGCACCCAATTATAGCTAGCTCCCTCAGTCCCTCCTGTCTAATTTCATAACACTGTAATCCTAAATCCATGCCTTTGTTGATACTAAATCTACTCTCTAACGCTTTGTTTGGATAGCAAATAAGGAAGGAAAGGAAGGGGAGGGAAAGAAGAGGAAAGGAAGGGAAAAGAAAGGAAGGGGGAGGTGAGCTCTATTCTCCCTCAAAATATCTCCAAATTTGGAGGTATTATGCTTATTAAAGAGAGAGGAAAAATGGATCCCTCTCCTTTCCCTTCCTTCCCCCAATCCTTTACGCAAACAAGAGAGTTTGTCTCCTCCCTTTCTCTTCCCTTCTTCTCCTTCCATTTTTTTATATCCAAACAAAGTGTAAATGCTCAATTTGACCTGCTACAACCTTGATATTTTTCAACTCTTTTCTCTATGACTCCTAGTATTAATTCCTGCTTCAGTGTCATTTATCCATCAGCTGTTGTCCCTGTGTAAAAACTGTTTGTACTACTTTTATACAAGCTTCAGTTAAACTTAAACACCAATGTTGCTAGTAATCTGCTTGCTTGAATGCTTTAATCCCATAAGTAGGGTCGGCTACATGAACCAACACGAGGACTTCTCAGGAGGTCACCCATCCTAGTACTACTCTCAATCATTGTCGCTCATGTCATGTGATGTGACAAATTTTTACATTAGCTGTCACTGGCCTACTATTGTCATGGTAATATTGTCACAGGAAACTTCTGTTAATCTAAAGCCATGGTAATATTGTCACAGGAAACTTCTGGAATGTATTTCTTTGGTGGCAAAGGCAGGACAATCAATTCCTCTCCCTTGTCCTACAACAAAATGCTTGCAAAGAGATTATGGGGAATGTCATGTGATATTTTTGAAGAGCTGAAGCGTATTCATGAGAAATCCTCGTTGATATCTGTTTGTGACTAGGCCATAATGTAAGACAAGATTTCCTTTGACTTCAAATTTTTCAGCAGAATTGAGTGAATGGACTTGTATAATCTTAATCTGAGAATCTGGTTGATATCTGTTTTATATAAAGTATTTGAAGAACTCTTGGATGGAGAAGTTCTTACTCAACCATCACAACAGCCGTTTGGACCAGAGCGCACTTTGTAACAAATTTGTTACACAACCTTCGTTACATATTATTTGCAACGATTTGACATAAAGTAGAGAGGAAAAATGTCTAATCGTTGCAAATAATATGTAACGTAGGTAGTAGTTGTCTTGATGTTTTGTGTAATAGGGCTAGCTTTTCCCTTGGGTCTCTCTTTGTAGTACGAGTAATAGTTTTTAGCTTGTGGAGGACTAGATGATTTCTGTTAATTTATGAGATTTTTTTTTATCTTGTGGATTATGTATTATAGTTCATACCTCAATCAATTTCTTAGAAATTTGTAATTTGATACGTGGGACAGGCCAAAGTTGCGGTAAATCTTCAATTTGAATAATTCTTTGTTTCAGAAATGGTTGTTAACAAATCCTAAATGGATGAAGGTTTAAAACTCCTTCAGCATGGAGGCGTGCATTAATGCAACTGCACAAATTATTAACTGTTTATTTTTTACCTGAGACACGTTAGAAAATTTTCTTTGAACTTGATAAATGCAAATACTCGTAGTACAATATCACCAAAATTTGCACCTTTGGCTCCAGATACAAGGAACAAAAAATAAACACGACTGTACACCAAGGTACTGAACATTGATTATTACTTCGTATATCATTATAATACAGCTTACAAAATTTAATATTGTCCACAGATGAGGTGCCCGTGCTAATGAAGAAAATTAATGTTATTTAGCATTCCTTAAGTATAATAACAATAATAATATTTGTATAATAATGGCCGCAGACCTGTTCTGATTTACTGAATTGAACTGATTAGAGCTGAACTGAACTGAATTGTTTATGAGATAATAAAATTAGGAACTGAACTGAACTGATTGAAGCTTAAATGAACTAAACTGAAATTAAACTGAAGAGAACAGGCTTTTAGTATTATTGTTATTAGCATTCCTTAAAATTTATAACTTTGTAAAGAAGCAATAAACATGCATCATAATGAAGTATATCTTTTCTTTTTATATACCTTAAGTATTTTGTATCCTGGAAAATAATCTTGAAGACTTTAAAAAGAAAAAACACGTAACATAATTATAGCAACTCATGAAGAAGAAGAATCTGAAATGAGTACATATTTTCATACTTGTGTTGTAAGATTTAGGGAGATGAATTAAAAATAAAATAAAATGGGACCGACCTTTGTTATTGATTGTCTGATGAAACATACATACTTATACGCTGATTAATAATCGATTACTTTAAACTTTGTTTCACAAGCCAAGTCAAAATTATGGTGTTGACTAATTAGCTTTGGCGTTTTCCATTGAACCCTACCATCCACGTTACTAGACTCCATTCTTTTTGGCATCCAAGCTAACATGACAAACATTTCTGATAGTTTTGCACATGCTAAATTATTTCTAAGGTTTATATTTTTTTGGGGCCAGAACATGCTCTATTATATTTATTTATATATCCTACACGAGAAAAACTATAAACATTGTCATTGTAAGGATTTTTCGGCTCATAATCATAATCTTCAATTTATTTCAATTCCCGTCATACAACCTAAATCGGTGCAATTAAATTAGATTATTAAATGTTACGGAGTATTATTGTATCTACAATCTAAATGGAATCAATTAGAAAATCAAGTCATTCGATATCACATAGTATTATTATACATTACGGAGTAGTATATTATGATCCACAATGCGCAATTAGAAAGATTAGCGGCGAAAGATGTACAAACAAGAAATATTGAAAGAACTTTTAGAGACGAAAAGAATATCTTATCAATGAACGTAGACAGACAACAAAATAAACAAAAGAGGTAGGTGGAGGGGGAAGGAGTGATAATGGTATACAGCCAATAGGGAAATAGATAGTTCCAAACTTCCAACTTCCAACAGAAATAGTATGTGAATCCTGAAATTGGGAAGGTTGGTTTATGGTCGGCAACAAATAATGGCAAATCCCTGCTGGTTTTATACTAGCCACAGCCACAACCCAGAGGTGATCCAGCTATTCCAGCTCACCCCATTTCCAACCAACATTTACATTTCTTTATGGAATCCAATGGCCTAAAAAGCGATTTTACACTTTCAGCTGCCCTACATTGTATTTCAATTCATGCAGATCAAACCCCATTGTGGGATCAATATTCACCATTTACGCCAACTCACTAGCTTCCACCCTACGCTCTAAACCACACTGCATACGAATGCTTAGCTTAAATCCTAAACACTACTCTCACAGCCTACCTTAATCCATCGACAACTATGACAGCCCCCATTCATCTTCCGTGAGGGCAATCATCGAGCCAACCATCTTACTCAAGCCCCTCGTAACATAGCACACATAGAAGTACAACAATATCAATGCCCAAATGTGCAATATTCATACTTATATTTATATACCCACACTGTTCACGTTTGCTAACACATGAATAAATCCAATGAATATAATAGCTTACAACTTACAAGAACCCGACAGAATGCCAAAAAACTTAACCCAAAAACACTATAATGACTTTCCCCTTTTTTGTTTCTTTTGGAAATAGTTTCTTTTGTTCTTCCTTTTTACCCTTTCCAAACTGTTTCTCCCAGAATAGAGATTAATAAAGATTAGAAAAAAGAAAAAAAATAAAAACCTTAAGATGACAAATAGAATAGGAGAAGGGAGGAAAAACGACGGGAAATGACCCACCAATTAGCTCACCACGAACAACTGTTGCCCTATATGCAGCTGTTGTGCTCACTCTGACAGTCAGCACTTTTGGGAGGTGAGCCTTTTGACGTTGACGCGACGCAGACGCATAGCAGAGGCAGCTCCATGACTCAGACATACAGAATACTAATTAACGTCCTGTTTTAGCACGCTTCATCCCACTAGTATTGAATGGAGATACACTTCCACTTGGACCAGGACTGTCTTCTCTAAAATTCGAGTTCAGCATAGCAAGCTCCCTAAGTTGCTGCCTTTTGTAAAAGTCTTGTGATTCGTCCTGCTAATAAAAACTCCAATTAACCAAAGTAGAAAGGCAAGAGAAGCCAAACAATAAGAGTAGGTCTTAAAGGCATTGAAGTTGCATACCACAGGCTTCAGCAATTCTTCTAGAATTTCTTTAGCCTGGCGCAACTTTATGTCAACAATATTGGGAGCCATATCAGCCTCAATCAAAATGTGAAGTGGCTCATTCAGGTGTTCATAACCAGGTCTTCCTCGAAGCTTCTCTTCCTAGAATCATACACCAAGAAAAACCACATAAGCTACAAGAATAAGGGGCATAAACTTACAAAAATCAACAATCAATTCCAACTGATATTTATAAAATGATAACAAACCGCTCACAATGTAACTAGTAAAGAAATTTACCTTGTCTGGATCCTTAATTGATCCTTTACCCCTAATGTACACACGACAACCAGTCGAAGCCTCAACACGTTTCAGAGAATTTCCTCTGGGTCCCAGAAGTCTACCAACAAAATTGAACTGGAAAAAAATACGAAAACAAATGCATTAGGAGCCATCCTCATTTGAGTATAAAGCCATACAAAATACAATGTACAAGTAAAAAATTATACTTACATTGGGATATGAATCTACTGGTATTTCCAGCCGCATTATTTTTTTCACAGTATATGAGCTAGGGCTCGCAGGTGCCCCTTGCCAGTCCATCGACATTCCAGGTGGACCACTCAATCTCTGTTTGCAAACATCATGATTCAGAGCATTAGCCAAATCTATGATAGTGAAGAAGGTAATGAGCTTGGAGCATCAAACAACAACAATACTCTAAAAAGCATCATAAGTATAGCAGGCAGGGGTTATAAGGCATTAAGGCAGATATAAAGTAGGTCAGTAGCCTTACTTCTGCAAAAGGAAGGCAGGTATGCACGACATGGTATTTAAATATTCATAAGAGTTGCAGACAGGTCTGTGGCATCTGATAGAACGGACAGATGACAAAAAATCAGACTCCAGAGACACAAAAGCTAATGTGTATAATCCTAAATTGCTTGAATCCAGCTCAAGTAACGGTAAATTTCTAAAACAATTCCACCAATTCACTCAATTAGCAAGGAAAAAAACGCAATCTGTTTTCATATTCTGCCTCCTATTCTCTACTTGCATTTTGTTGATTCTTTTTATCAATACTCAACAGTATATAGGTTTGAGACAGAAGGCACTAGATTTCCATCACAAAAATCTCTTAAAAGCCAAAACTGTATGGAAATACAGTTCCACATATTCTTGGGAACCATGACTAGATTAGTTTTGATAAAAGCAATGGCTCAGACCGACTCCTACAGTATGATTTATAGACTGTAACTTTGCAAGGCATAAAGCCAAGCACGGTGCTAATACTAGATGAAGGAAGATAGAAACCATTCTTCTGTTCCTCTCCTATTCAGGGCCTTCAGGCATGGTCAAGTAGGAGATAGATGCCCACAGGAGTGACATGCTATTCTTAACCCTAACTGGCTACCTAGTAATTATTACTGGAACAGAGTTGAAATGCTGACCAGATGATGAGCCATTCTTCTGAGTAAATTTAATCAGATGCCACCAGCAGATATTGGAATTAAATAGAAAAAATCTATTCAAACATGAAGGGAGATGATTACACTAGCAGAAAAGAAGCAGCACGATCATCTTCGTAATCATCACGTCACACTTCATGCAATCAAGGTACATTGATATAATTTTCAGACATAAAGGAGAAACCTTTGGATGCCATGTTACTAGTGCAGTGCATAAAAGTGAATGGCATGCTGCATGCCAAGAAATACTTAGATAAACATGAATACAGATCCAAGTCAAGACAGACCTAGAATCATTTGATGCAAGAATCCAATTCAACATCTCACAAGAGTCGTTCCAGGTGATCCTCTCTGTTTGACCAAGTGATAATGCTTATGACCACAGTTGCTAATAAATATTTGCTAAGAAACGACAATCATGTAACAAGGACTCTAGACTTAACCAGTTTAAGTATAATCGTAAGGAATTCTTCCACTATTCTGCCATATGTACATTAGAAGGTCTCCAACTCAGCTACAATGAAATACTTTCAATTAATTTTTTTGTCAAGACAACCAAAAATGAGACTCAAGAATATGACATCTCAGTTTTCTTATAGAAATATCAGTGTTTTTTCAATCTCGTGAAGAGCATGAGCTCAGCCTCCCTCACATGATGATAGCAGATTTCCTCAAAACAAACAAAATCTAAAACTTCCTAGTTCCAAGCAGTTTTCCTGCAATGTTTTATTAGGGCTACAGCTATCACCACAAGTCATCTATACAAAAAAAAAAAAAAAATATTAAAAGACGCGCTAAAGATGAGGAGGCCAGAGATACAGAAGATAGAA